TAGGGGCTCCTGGCATCGCTACTAGGAGCAAGGACGCTACTAGGGGCTCCTGGCATCGCTACTAGGAGCAAGGACGCTACTAGGGGCTCCTGGCATCGCTACTAAGAGCAAGGACGCTACTAGGGGCTCCTGGCATCGCTACTAGTAACAAGGACGCTACTAGGGGTTGAAACCTTCCATAAAACGGATAGAAAAGGCCTGAAGATGGAGGCCATCGCTAGTAGGTTGGAGGCCATCAGCTGGTGACTGACCTACAAAGTGCACCGCTTGGGGAAAAACATAAAACCGAGTGCGGGCATCGACGAAAGCCGTTTTGGTGGTGAACCAACGCAAAGTTCCTCTAGCTCGGTGCAAAGAAGCGATCTTCAAGATACACCGATTCCCGTGACTCCACTGTAACCCAAAACCCCGTACCAAACATATTCAAATCACCTCTGCCCCTTTCTTTTTTGCTATACTCCCAAGTTAGTTGAAGAACTGCTTCCTCGTAAGTTCTGTAGATAGTACAACCTTTAGGCTCATCCATCATCAACGCGTAACGCGCAAAGACCAAGGTACATCCACCATCGGGCCAGTAGGTGAAATGTCGGCAACCCTCGACATTGGCACAGCGCCGTTGGCACTCAACGGCGCTGAGCATCTTACTGCGCTCGGTGCCCGGCATCCTCAGTTCATACAGTTTCACTCAAGAATTTCATGATTGGAGAATAAAAGACCACGGAAGCCACTTGCCAAATCTATATACCACTACTTTACTACCACCAAGGGTATGACTAGTTGTCATATGTTGTCGTGGTGTCAAAAAATCAATTCGTTTAGATTCCAACAAACACCTCCACAGGCCACACACGACACGTTCTGTGGGTCAACCCATGAATGTTGTCCACGCATCATGTGAGGCTCCGCGTAGAAGACGCCCTGTAGGAAGCAGCCCTCCACGAGCTCTAACCTGACTCCACGACCGCATTACACGGTGATTCTATTCCACCGAAGCATCTGTTTGGCCAGTTCCAACTGATCTCTTTTATTGTTTCTGATAGCTATTTGTTCCTAATAGCTTCTTGTTACTGCCAGTAAGGCCCTTTGCTCCTAGTAGCGATGCACTTGTTTCTAATAGCTTCTTGTTACTAGTAGTAAGGCCAGTTCCTGATCTGGTGGAGTCGAGGTGTGCAAAAGATCGGAGACCCTCTCCCATTGGGATTCAACACCGAGAATTCAGGGCGGACACCGTCCCTTCTCCTCAGCCAAACCTAAATGAAAGTGTGTCAATGCTTTTTGACACCATTTTTTTTCAGAAATCGCTGGCACCGGAGTTGTTTGGCACCTCTGGGGAGTGTCCGACCTTCCGATCGGAGTTGCCACCAACTGTGGACAGCCGGTGTGTCACTCCATCGATGTCACCGGCAGTCGCTTCGACGGCCAAACTGTTTTCATCGACCGTTGTGGAAACCACCTTCAGTTGTGCAAGGAACAGCTCAGGCGATGCCCCGCCACGGCGAAGCCCATGGCGGCCCCGAGAGAGGAGCGCCACCAGAAGCAAACCTTTTGGGGCAAACAAAAAAAAATGACCAGAAGAATGCCGCGAACATACGGCAAATTTATT